AAACCCCGCCGCTGTCTTCTTCTCCCCTCTCAAGGTGGAGACATGATGAGGGCGGAGCGAGGGATGGAGAGGAGCGTGGAGAGAAGGAACACCAACTCTAAGGCATGCGATTGGGCACAGGCGTCTTTTGGGCCTATCGACAGGCGGAACCGGGGGGGGGGAGGGGGCATACTGAGTGCATTGGTGTTAAACCAAGAAGATCCTGCTGGCCGCACGATTCATTTTTGTAAAATGGACACTGGCCCCCACCACACACACACACACACACACACACACACACACACACACCAGGAATAAGTACTCACTACGCACACATTAGGATCGGCGATTAAAAACCCCAAAAGCGCGAAAAGCACAGGGAAGTCAAATATAGCCTGAGTACAACCAATTTATCCCGTAATGGAGTGTGTGACCATCAAGAGCACAAAAATGGCCGATGCAACGTGCACATGTGTGTGTGTGTGTGTGTTTACTTTAGATTCCTTTTCCTCTCATATGTGTGTGTCTAATGGCCTGTGAATGTTTCCACGGTAACGGCGACAGTTTGAGCTGGTCGGGCGGATCGACATACGGACATCAGCGGAGGGGAAGCAGAGTTCAACTGACCATATTTGGTTACGTTTTTGTTTTCTTCCATATCCGCACAGCAGGTAGTGTCCGCGGTGTGAAATGACTTTTAGCACCTATGTGTAGCAAAGACAAAAGGTTTCCGCATGTCTGTGTGTACTCTGCTGCAATCAGAGTGTGTGTGTCTGTGTGTGTGGGAAAGAACCGTTTGCCTTTAATAACGCGGTGTGTGTGGTTTGTATTTTTCGGCTGGCACACAGACAGCAATGCGCTCAGTGCCTCTGCTTTAGTCAGAATAAGCTGATAAAAATGATCTCTAACGCATTCACTAAAGTCAATGACGTGCCGGATAAAGAAGAGGCCCTTTCTCCGTGAGGTGTGAGCGCTGGCAGACGCACACCACCGGAGTGCATATTGTCGAGACCAAAATGTTCTTTAAAAAGTACAAACAGATACTGAACTGTCCCACTTCAGAGCACTTACTGTATGGAAATGTGGGAGGGTGAAATAGATGTGTGTGTGTCTGTGTGTGCGTGCAGAGCCCTGGGTGGGGGCGAGGGGGCTTAACACAATAAAGCATGTTGTATTGACATCTGTGTTGTGTCTATTGATTCCCCATTATGGAGCTAACAAACCCGCCTGGACGCTTTGTCATTCGCAATCACGTTAGCACCGGGAGTCACCGGCGCCGAAATCTGATCCATACGCACACACACACACACTCACGCACACACAGACGCAGGTTTCCTCACTTTTCTCGCATTCCTACACATCCGCTGCAGTCGTTCCTGTCACCTAGCGCACAGGGTTGAACAAACACACACACACACAATATAGAACGTTAGAATGCAAACATTTCAACAGTCTACAGAGACGCACACACACACACACACACACACACACGGCACTGGAGTGGCGGGAGAGTAGTCAATGTTGGCTAATCAATAGCGGTGGAAGGTTAAAACCACTCACACAATGGGCAGCCATGAGCTTGCGGTTTTCCAGATGAACCGCACACGCCACACGGATCTATAACTGACCTCAGCGTGCGATTACGGTCTACCTGTGCCTGCAGCACGCACGCACACGGACACACAAATAGCCAGTTCTCACTTTCCCGAACCAAAGCAAAACAGTAGACGGACAACTGTGCAAATTCCTGCTTATGCGCACCTCGTGCACACACACAGACACACACAGCCAATAAATCCAGGCATCGGGTCCTTAGTCTGGTGTGTCCCAGACAACACAACCCCCTCCTGGGCAGCGTGAGGTGAAGATACTGGGTGGGAGAGGAGGTAGTTATTGAGCAGCATGGAGCCCTGTGTGTGTGTGTGTGTGTGTGTGCGTGTGTGTGTGGGCAGCAGGCCTGGCTTTGAACTCTGCAATCAAAGTTCCTCCGCTCGGTTATTAAAGGATGGAGCCGAGTCGAGCAGCGGACGCGCTGCCGCCGCGCGTGTTTGTCTGCCTCGTTTCCTCGTGCATGAACGCGTTTATCACCAGGCTCTCTGTGTTCTTCTGTGGCTCCACGTCGCTTCGTGTTCCACTGTGTAAAGAGGTGAACGAACTAGGAAAAGCAGACAGTAGAACAGAGAGAGTGAAACACCAACACAGCGCTGAAGAACTACAGAGGCCTCTTGGAGAAGACCCCCGCACCCCCCCAATCCAGACACGTGCCTTTTCTCTGTGAATTTGACAGCCCTCCGTTTTATGTGGGGCACGGTGTCCCTGGAGGATTTTACGGCAGTGTACATCAAATAAAAAAAAAGAGCATTTAGATTTCCTTTGTTGCGCCGCAGAGCGGGGACGGGGGGGACGGTTCCCCCACAGGTCCCCCCCCCCCCTGAAAAACCAGCACAGCAGGGCTAGACCGTCTGGTCACGTCTCTGAGCCGCACACAGATAAAATGCTCTAAATGAAGCTGTCCACTGGCGTTTGGTGTCGAACCCACTCGCATATAAAGACCTAAATCTGAAAAGCAACAAATGCAATTACTGCAATTACTACTGGCCGTAAAAATCTATGCACAGACTTTGGATTTTTCGGAGCGGTATTATATTTTTACTGCAACGCAAATGACATGTCAAAAAATAAATCATGAATAATGAATAAGGCCTCAAAAAGGACTGTTTTTGAAAGGTTGCTGTGTAGCAGCACAGTCAGCTGGTTTAATACAGTACAATATTTAAAAGAATTAAAATGCCCTTTTACTACATTCAGCGTCCCTAAACATTTCCATTTATTTTAGATCTACAGTACCAATACTTGCACTAGTGCACGGAGCTCCTAAACAGGATTTAGACTGAAGGCTTTCCTTTAACACTGACAGCAAACAATCCAACACATATATATATATAATCAGGCGACCAAATGAGACGACTAAATGTGCAAAGACAACGCGGCCGTTCCTCCGATAACAAATCCCATCCGGTGGCGCGTGGAAGCCCGGGTGAGTTGAGGGCAAGCAGTCTGGACGGCGCGGCGTTAAGGAGTCAAGCTGAGTAAAACCCCCATAAGCCTTTGCTTCAGATCCCACTGTAGAACCACTGCTGGCGGTTTGCTGTTTAGGAATTCGTCTTCCTCCACTGAACCTCACTCACCTCACCTCGCACTTGGGACACCCCCGTCTGCTCACTCTGATGCAAACACCCGGGTACGTGCTCACACACACACACACACACACACACACACTGAAGCGCGCACTTCCTGGTGCAGGCAATCGTAGGGATGCACACCTTGGTCGAGGGAGCAGGTCAGACAGAGAGGGAGACGGAGGATTGTGGGTAACAGATTTAGCTAAAGTGGCTTATGGGGCCCCGGCCAAATCACACCAGGCAAATCCAATTCAACATCGTCCCCCGTCCATGGGGAACGAGACAGAGAGAGACGGACACAGAGAGACAGAGTTTGCATTTCACTGAAAAGGCTTTTGTGTAAGTGAATGAATACTTCACAGAAAAAAAGAGCGCGAGAGCGAGAGAGAAGCAACAGGGGGATTCTGACTTCCTCCCTCATCAAGATGAAAGTCGGAGGAGAAGTGGAAGGAAGACAAAGCGACGGGGAGACGAGTGGATGAGTGTTGGCCTTTGATCTCCGACCAGGTTTCACGTCCCTGGTGCGCATTGTGGCTGCTTCATCACGCCGACAGCATTTCAATATTGTAAAAAGGCCTCCGGACCCCTTCATTTCCTCAGTGGGGGAGAGATGCTGCTCATGTTTTCCTCTCATTGGTTCATTCAAACCGTCCACCTGTTAATTCGCTAAATGGTGATTGCGTTGCCACCTTTTTTTCCCGTATGAGCGCGTTACTGTGAGCTGTATTAACAATAGCAATAATATCACAGAAACGCCCTTCAGCAGCATCATAGTCAGGTGGAAATAAAAAAGCAGAAAGAGCACTGCTGCCCTTTATTGACCTCGCAAGTCACCGCAGCAATATCAGAGCGATCACAGCATGGGGCCATGATCAGGTCGTTATGGTAACCAACCATCGATTGACAGTCACTGCAGAGATGGCCCAACTATAAGAATATTAGTTTCGTTTTGTGACAAATAACTCGACAGACGTTTGATTCTCAGTCATTTAGCGTTTCATTTCTTTTTCTCGTCTGACGTCATCTCCAGTAAAGACAAACTTCAACTGTACTCCTGTTTTTTTCGGCGCGGCGCCATGTCAGAGATCGATACCTGGTAATCGATAGGTGACCATGAATATTTCAGCCCAACCTGGCCGAGGAGGAGTGAAGGAGAGGAGAGAGGCAGCAGTTGGGATGGAGGTCGAGGAGGAGGGATTGCCGGCAATGAGGGGAAAGATTGTGATGGAGGCTAATGAGCCAAACATTCATGCTCACATGTTTTGCCTTTTACATTTCGGATTCAAGTGAGTACCTCAATCAACCTCTTTGCCTTTAATGATGAATTTGAGCTTGTTTCTCTTTGCGCAGATGCAAGAGGAAATATTGTGAAGTGGAAAAAGAGCTTTATTCTTCTGATTCTTTCATAGATTTTCACCTGTTATTTGGAGCAGTGATTGTGGTGTGATGTTGGTTTGAATTTTATCCAAATCATTTAAACTTCTCAGCAGAATTCTTCTTTTTTTCAAGTTAAGCGTTGGAGTGCACATCTTCCAGCTCTAAAAAATAACTATAATAAAAGCTCGACATGAGTTTTATGTTGTGTCACATTAAGTTAAAATATAGAGAGCATTCAAATGTAAATTTCATGGGTTCATGGGATTTATCCAAGTTCATTGGCCCGTTATTCAATGTGAGAAGCCAGATGAGACACGGGAGGTTGTGTAATATTAAATCTACCACGTTAGAAACAAAGATACTGATAAAGCTTTTAAAAAAACATATCGTGTTTTGTTCTCTTTTTTTTCTGGGGGCACAGTGGAGATTAAAAAGGCACCGGCAGCCTAAATGTTCCCTTACCGGGGCTGGACCGCGGAGCCAGCGAGGACTTGAGTCTCCAGGCGCTGTAGTCGGACGCTGTTCTCTGAAAGACGAAGGGGACCGGCAGGGGGACAAACATGGTCCTCTGTCGACCTGGGGGTCGCTGTTCGTTGCCTTCTTTTATTCTGGGCTCACTTTTCTTCTTGTCTCATCCGTCGTTGCTTCCGTCGACCTCTGGCCAGCTCTGCGCGCGCTCTCCGGGTGGCTGCAGGAGGAGGAGGAGGAGGAGAGAGGAGCACGAGCCGCGGGATTCACATCTCCGTGTCGCTGTTTGGATGTGAGGCGTTTGCGGCTCCCGGGGATGCAGGCGGCGATCGCGGCGCCCGCTTAAAACTTGCTTCTTCTCGGGGTCAACGAGTCCCGACGCGCAGGCACGCACGTTCCCGCGCGGCGCAGCTACACGCGTTGGGTGGACGACGCGGAGCGGGTATCCACACACAGGCTGGCGCGGGCCGGACCCGTTCTCATCGCGCGTCCCGAGTCAGCCGCTCTCCACTGGACGCGTAGCGCAGAAACGGCCGGACTCCCATTTATTTTGTCCACACGGTTGGTGCGTAAAGACGGCGGCGGGCTCTCCGCCTCTCCTCCTCGGACCGGGGTGTGCTTTGGTTTCGGGTTTCTCCTCGCCGCCACTGGCATGGAGAGTCTCAGACGGGAACGCACCGTCCAGCCGGGGAATCCTCCGGCGAGGGGGAGACGGGGGGGGGACGGGAGGGGGGCGCAAACGACTGTCCGGGTAGAGTTGCTTCTCTAATTTTTGGTTGTCGCTAAGATTTGGTTTAGTAGCTGGCTGGCTTGTTGAAGAATACACGAACACAAAGCGACGCGGCGGCAAAGCGCGGCGCTATTATTTGGTAAGAAAAAGATGGGAATAATCAAATCATAAAGTAAGGCTACGGGCACCTCCTGTCTGACTTTCGCTCCTCCCTCTCCTCCCCTCGCTGCCCCCCCCCCCCCCCCCCTCCCACCCCCTTCTCTCTCCCTCTCTATACCTCGGGTCCCTAATTACAGCAACAAATCGATAGATAAATAAATGAATAAATAAGTACACCTGTCTCCTGCGTTCTTCCTGCAATGACGCGCAGATGAAACACGAGGGAGATGATCGAGCCCCTTTCTCTCCTTTTAAGCGGTAGTGTCTTTTCTTTGGCTGTGCCTCGCCAGTGTCTCTCTCTCTCTCCCTCTCTCCCCCTCTCTCTAGCCGCACGGTTCCGCGTCCCCCTCCGTTTATTGTGGGCACCCCGGTGGGTTTTTCGGTCCTCCGGCGCGCAGCCTGAACGCACTCTGGCACGGCGACGCGCTGCGTCCGGGGAGGCAGACGGAGAGACCCTGCCCCCCACTTTTTTTTCCCCCAACCGGCTTTCCTCCCCTCCCCTCTCTCCCCCTAACCCCCCTTCCGTCTCCCTTCACCCCCTTCACCCCGACACATATGCACATTCACAAACGGCCCCCGTTGCTCCGCTCGTTTTCCTTCCGCGCACACTTGAACGTGAACGCGTGTTGTCTGATGGGAGTTAAAGTTCCCCGTGTGGAGGCGCGTGCATGTACGATATAGTCCACATTTCATAAGAGGGATTTATTCTCCAGGTGCGCGTGCTGACTAGTGTTGTGAAAGCACACGCACTCGCGCCCCATGCACGAGCACGGATCCGGCCAATTGAGCCTGTGATTACTTCATTATAATGAAGCCAATAATCACATCATCGCCGGCCTCCGAAGGAATCGATCACCCCTTCACAATGTGCAGACATGAATTCAAAGAGGGGGGAGTAGGAGGGGAGGGGGGGGCTTTGATGTATATTTCAGCAGGTGGATCTCTCCCTCTCATAGATGTACGTGGGTCCGGCTAACGCAAGGTCACCTGCAGCACTCAACTCATGTATCCCTGCACCCCCCCCCCCCCTCACAGAGGTGAATACTACATGGGCCACGGGTGTTAAATTAATAATTTGTTGGGGGCTCGGGAAGGCTAAAACCTCAGTGCAGCTGGATCAAGATTGACTGTTTTTCCTATTAAAAGGGTCGGTGAGAAGGTTGTAGTTGCCGTGGTGAGTGGAGCCTGCGTGAGTGTGTGTGTGTGAGAGTGTGTGTGTGTGTGTGAGTGTGTGTGTGTGTCGCCCCCCTCCCTGCTCCACCCCGATCCGCGCTCTGCATTTACACTCCAGATTATCACTCACATGGATTTTTTAAATAGAAAAATCTATAGGCTAAATATCGCAGTCAATAAAGAAAATAGAGTGAATCACACACACACACACACACACAGACACACACACACACACACTTACGACTCTGAGGTGTGACTGAGCCGTTAATAAGTTATCGATCAATTATTGCCTTCGCGTATTAAGGCCTCGGGCTCTTTGCAGAGATAATGTCTATGCAGGGAGAGGAAGGGCAGCTTCCTGACGCAGTACTGTCTCGTATCACATGCGTCACAGTTATGTACTACTTAAAAAGTGCCATCGTCAGCTGTTGCTTCACAAGCATCACTGAGATATGAATCACAATTCTATGCTGAAAAACCGTTATTGTATTCCATCCTATTAAAGCTACTGGCGGCAATGACCATCACTTTATTTCTCTTTTTACTACTAATTTTAGTACACATCGTTTGTAATATTTTAGTATTAATACTGTGACTTCTAGTCTATCTTAGTAATATAGCACTTTTATAGTCCACATTTCTACTGCTGATACAACAGATCTTTATAACACTGTATTCTTCCTCCACGACGTGTTCCTTGTTCCTGCTGCCATATTAATACTATTAACTAGGTAATAGTTGGGCTTCTTCTCTTCCCCCTTTGACACCACTTGTATTACGTGTCTTTACGTCTCCTGCTCCTCCTATAGCAGTGTGCAGTGCTACGGCCCGTCCTGTGCGTGTACTAATACCCTGACTACTACTTGTCCTTTTCCCAGACCGGTGTCCTCTGATCCGCTACCCGCTGCAGCTCTTCATGTGCTGACACACGTCCCATCACAAAGCCCCCCCATTAAAAACCCCACTCCCCGTTGACAGATGACATCCGCGTGTCCAACGAACAAGAGAGGGAGGAATAAGAAAGGGAGCAGGGGGAGGAGGGGGAGGAGGCGGCGTGTAGAGAAGCGACCGGTTGTCCCTCCAGAGCCCCCCTCTTTGAGCGAGGGCCGAGCGCAGAGGAGCCCCGACCCAAACTCCTTCCAGACAAAAGCAATTATTTCTTGTAGAATATAGTGTGTTTTGTGCGTCCGTCACGTGGGGGGTGGGAGGGTGAGGGGGGAGGGAGGGCTGATTTGAAGGAGAGGGGAAGAATATGGCGCACGGAGGGCTCATCAATAGCAATATGTTCTTCCCCCCTCCTGCTATATCTCTCCTTTCATAACTCCTGTGCAACCTGCTGCGGTTGCTTTGTCTGACATCGTGGGCTCATAACGGACTTCTGATCAGCTGCACACAGACACACACACACACACACGCACACACACGCACACACAGTCTACCAAGGACAGTTTATCTTAAAAAAAAAACATTACATCAAAATATGAAAGATTATTACGTAAGTAATGATTTATATAAGTCTATGATGGTATCGGATCAGTAGGCTTTGGTATTCAAACAGCGAAAAATACAAACATATCGCAAGAAAAGCCCAATCTGAATGCTATAAGTGAACACAGCGCAGAATTAGATCTCATCCTCTCTGTCTGTCTGCGCGTGAGAGAGAGAGTTCATTGTTAAATGGCGGTGTCATGTTGACAAACGAGTTGGTTGAATTAAATTCTCCCTCATCAATAACAAGAGGGGGCGCAATCAATACGGGCTTACAATTATATCACCTCCTACCCCTCTGCTACCACTGTAACCACACACACACACACACACACACACACACACACACACACACACACACACACACACAGCACAAGATCGAGCGAGAGAAAGGCAACAATCACTACCCCTCTAACATCACAATTTAATACATTATTCACACACTGACACTGAAGAGGAGAGAGTTACTACTTATTGTTACATGGACTATTATGAACACACACACACACACACACACACACACTGAACACAGAGGGGAGTCTTTCATGAGACAGTGACCCTAATAAACACACACACATTATTGACATTTGATCTGTGTTCCTCTCTCTCTGATTCTCTCCCTTTCTTCTTACGACCTGACTAAGTAATCAATGGCGACAGGTTGTCGATGGGCCGTCCCGGTCCTGCCAATACCTCTCCTACATGTCCATTATTGCTCTTAAGGCTGCGGAGGGGAGCAAAACACGTCGCTGTCGATGCGCCGCCTTGATGCGATCATCGAGGCGCGATCGATGCTCTTGCTTACAGCTCACGAGCTCGCTGGGAAATCGGTTTGCGAATACGTATCTCTCTCTGGCTGGAGGTCTTCCTGTGTCTCTTATCTCCGTATTTCTTTCATGCATATTCTCTCTCATTGTTGGCAGGTTGTATTTGGACTTTGTGTGACTGTGTGACACGCATGCTCTGCATCCTATTTCATCCTGGATTGGTTGTAATGGATTAAAGACGTATAATGTGAGTTGCGAGGCGGGGAGGGGGGTGGTGACAGGGGGTCACATGGCCTTTGCTTTGCTCACACACACACACACACACACACACACACACACACACACTGATTCAGACACAAATGTATGTACATGCTTAGTGGAGAACGCACCGGAACGAGCATGAAAGCACGGAAAAAATCAGACCGACACACTCGTGCAACATATTCACGTACATGCAAACCCACCGTAACATGCACAAATGCACGAAAGGGACACACACACACACACAGTCAGTCAGGATTCTCATGCTCAGGGAGGCCCAAACAGCTTAGCTTAGCACAAATGCAGCATCAAGGCTCGAGGTAATGCCAATGACATGGATGGAGCTTTCCAGCTCATGCAGTCTGTGTGTGTGTGTGTGTGTGTGTGTGTGTGTGTGTACGTTGCAGACGTGGGAGGAGATGAGAGCCTTAAACACTGAGAGGATCAGACCCGACTCTCCTGGACACCATGGAATACGATCAAGAGGCAGGAGAGAGTGTGTGTTAACGAGAATAGCCCGACACAACTGGAAAAAAAGCTGAAAGCTGTTTCAAATGTCATCTTTCTTCAAGTATTCTGGTGCTGTAATAGCATTTCACACAGACTCGCTCAATGCACTTCAAATTTACAAATTTGATCAAAATGTATCTGTAAAACAGATTTAGTTGAAGTTTTGAGGATTCTTTTAAAACAAGGCAGAAACCCAAAGATAAGTGATGGATCATATTAATATGTTTTTAAAGGTATCTTTGTTGTATTTCAAGCATGGGGAGGCTTCTCTGTTTAAAACATATCCCTTAGTTATGGTGCATGAGAACAACCAAAGATTCCTGAAGACTTTCTCCGTCTCCAACACACACCCATGCACACTTCTCATATGAGGCGTGCGTCTTATTCACACAAATCCCTTTTCTTGTGGAACATAAACACCATCGACTCAGACAAATCTTGTTTCTCTTCATCTTTTTTCCTCCATGTTTACTCTCTATCGGCTTCCCTTTCCGTCCGTCTTCCCCTCACTTGCTCTCGAACACACGGCCCGCAGCCCCGCGTGGTGCTCATGGAGGGAAAGAGAGACAGACCCACACAGTGTGTGTGTGTGTGTGTGTGGGTAGATTTAGAAGCGGGGATCAATGAGAAATGTAGAAATCAATGCACTTAGCAGTGGGAAATCAATGGGGCCTAATCGGGATGCCAATGGCACAAGTCAAAACAATTAACAAGGAAGAAAAATGTTTAACAACCCCCCACCACCCACGAGCCAATGCTTACACAGAGGCAGAGGGGAGACGGGGGAGAGAGAGGGCTGAATAATGCTTACGGGTCAGTGGAAGGAAATGCCTTTACAGTGGAACTGGCCTGTCG